TCATAGACTGGTTTGAGTTGGAAGGGAACTTAGAGATCATCTAGTTCCAAACCCTGCCACAGGCAGGGACACCTTCCACTAGACCAGGTTGCTGCAAGCCCTGTCCAACCTGGCCTTGAACACTGTCAGGGATGGTGCAGCCACAGCTTCTCTGGACAACCTGTGCCAGTGCCTCAGCACTTTTATCATAAAAAAAAAAAATCTCTTTCTTATAACCAGTCTGAATCTACCCTTTTTCAATAAACAACCATTACCCCTGGCCCTATTGAAACAGGTTCCTCCAAAGTAGAATGGCACCCAGTGACTCAGTGACAGAATTACCAAACCCGAGGTAATGCTGTCAGCACGTGTGTTATTGTCCAAATTCACTCAGTACACATTTAACATCTCTTGAGCACCGGGAATGTCACGCCCGTAACACAGTGATAAATTACAGCACAGGCATTCAGATAAGAATCTGCGGTTCATGTACAACTCCTCATTAAATTAAAGACAGTCATCTTCCTATTCTAAATCAGTCTGAGGCCGTGTGTGGATGATAGATATTTTAATTAGTAAAATTACCAACCAAGAAGTACAATTTACACACAAGATTTATCTACAAATGATAATTCCCCAACTTTTCTGCAACAGCTGGAGCTAAGCTTTCTGAATACAAAACATTGCTATTGTGCTAAGCTATGGCATGTACATGGACCTCATTGATGACTCCTCTATTTCCAGAGAGGTTTACAATAAATCTTTTTTTGTTTCTAAGTTCCAAGCATCCCTGCTTATACAGGACCCATTTTTACCAATTCCACACAGCTGGGGTTTCCTTGCATTCAGAAAGCTCTGCTAAATATCAGCGGATAGTTAAAAATAGGTGAACTCTCCAACTGGAGTCAGAAGTGTGCTTTATCTCCACAAAATGTATTTGGAAAGAATAGCTACAGACAGAACCAAAGGTGGGAAACTTGTCCTGCTGGAGTCCTCAGCTGCATGAAGACACCCTGAAATGAAGTATGATGTTTTCATGAGAAGCAATCAGCACAGCAAAAGAGGGATCATTTGCACTGTGTTTTCTCCTTGTTTTGCTAATGCCATGGCTCTGATGATTATAAATAATCCAGAAAGTTTATTTAGCCACATTGCCCTGCACTTCAGGGAGGAGGAACTGTATTCGATAGACTAACATACTGGATTTTAAGGGTTCTTCCTCCATTTTCACTTCACACATCCCTTCTGCTTGGCAAAAGTTTGTACATGAAAAACACACTAAGAAAAAAACAAAACTGAACAAAAGCAACAGTGAATTTTGTTTCCATTCTTTTTCATATTTGTTTTCCTTGTACAAAAAATGCATTGAAGTGCTCAGTGTGGGATTTCATATGTTGCAATTTTATCTCAGGAAAGTAATCTCTCCCACACCACATTGTATGAAAAGGGAGAGAATACAGCAGTAATGTGGGCTTTTTTCATTCCTACAACTTCTTTATTGCCAGCGGGTAAATACAATTACACATTGTGCAGAATGCATGCTAAAACTATAAAATACCTGGAGTACATCTAAGTCTATTTGAGATATGTCAAGCCTCTATTCATGTAAAGAAGAAAAGAGAAAAATATTACAGAAGGATGGGCTCCCGTGCTGTTTTGGCAGCAGGAAAGCTTGGATAGGAGTGTGAGCGATCTGCAACCTGCAAAGCCATTGCACCACTCAGCCAGTACCGAAAGTTTTCTTACAGGCTGTAACACTGCTATCGCATTTGCAATATTACTTTTAAGAAGCTCATTTTCACTAAGCCTGGCTCATAATCACTTTTGTGTCTTGAACCATACAACATTAGACTTAGAATAAGTATTTCATTGGCAACACTCACCTTTGCATTCTTCCTTTAGTACATTCCCAAAGCATAGCATCCCAGTGCTGAGAGGTCCTGGCAGCCTTCAGCTCTCTCAGAAATAAATAAGATTTCCCTCCAAAACAGTACTTATGTCCTGACTACAACCTGCTGGCACTCTTACCCACTGCCCACAAGCAAATGCTCCCTATCCCTCCAGCGATGGTGAGCCCCATTCCCATCACTACAGGTTGTAATTTCTTGGTCTTTGCACAAATACCAGGTTAAATGAAAAAGGCTGTTCAATGCATTCAAGAACACAGCCTTGCAAAACTCAGGTTGAGTACTAATGTGACCTGATCTGAACCACTAGAGAGGATAAACCCACTAAGAAGGTATGAAAAATCAGCACTAGCTTCAAATACACACCATGGTGAAGGGATTTAACTACAGCCTGCCAACTAAACCTGGTGAGCATGAGGCTCATTTCCCAACAGAGATGGATGCATTGACTCATTATCAAACCATGTGCTGGCCTCAGATGTGGTAGCTTTCAGATCAGGCTCACACCAAAATATAGTCCCACTGAGGGGGTTTGCAATGTGATGCTGCATTAAGAAAAAGGGCAAGTTAAAGACAAAAAGCAACAATAAGTAATGTTAATCCAAAAAGACGCAGTAGAGGAACCCCTTCAAAATAGATGCTTTTATCCACAGTCCAGTTCAAACCTGCTCGATTTTACCACAAAATATTGCAAACTATTGGAAAAAAAATCCCAGAGCCCCAGAGACAGCCTCATCCATCAGTGCTACGCCATGACCAAATCTCTACTTTAACAGAAGGCTCTGTCCTGGGCTCAACCTAATTTTTTAGGGTTACTCTTGGAGAGCTCCCCAATTACCTGCAGCTCCTCCACTTGGCCAAGCAATAGTTTGGTCCCTCCTGCCATTTCAGACCCCACAACCACTGCAGCAGGGTGGTATGGCTTCAGACCTGCTCCTGCAGCTGATTTTCACCTCCAATGGGCCTCTTCTCCCAACCTGCCTCTTCCATTATCTGTATTATCTAAGTCTTCAAACTCTCATCCCCAAAGATTTAACCAGCCTCCCAGGTCTTTCAAGCAGTTCCTCACTCAAAAGCCTCCAATTATCTGCCAAAACATTTTTACCTTTCACCATATAAAGCTTAGTTTTTCCTGTGTTTGAACTTTAGTCTGCTCTATTTTATCTTCTAGCAATCTCAGTGCCTTCTACATTTCCTGGTTATGTTATTATGCATTTGAGCAGGTCTCCCATAAGGAATGACCTTATCTATAGGTATGAAACCTGACAGCTTTCAGCTGTTCTTTTACTGCTGGATTTGTTCTTTGGGCTGGGAAAGGGGAAGGCCAGGTTCAGTTGGATAACCAGTAAATATCAACTGAGACCTCCCTGCCCAGATTCAACCCTTTTCACAGGCTCTGTCTAGAAAATCTTGGATAATGGCTCTGTCTTTTCTTACCCCAAATTATCCCAAGAAAGATAAATTTGCATTTCTTGCAATATTTTGGAGGTCTGCCATTTCAGAAATGAGGATTGCTTCCCCAAATACAGAACAGGAGGATTTGAATATAGCAGTGGTCTGCATGCACGTCTGACACACCGACCAACCGCTTCAAAGAAAGATGCCAGCAACACAGAAGGCAGTAACTGGCTCCCTAAATGTGCTTCCATTAAGAGGTAACATACAAAATGTTACTTTCAATGTAGTTCTTCAGCTCATCAAAAATATATCCTTATTAATGGAATTCTAGGTGTTCTCATTATATATGCTGCTTTTTAAGCACAGTAAATAGTGAACCTAAATGGTACCTAGTTCTTTAAGTAAGTTCTTTAGGGTTCTTGTGTATAGTACTGCCCTTCCCATTACATTTCCAATAAATTATTTCCATTTTTATATCTGAAATCTCAGAAATGGCACTAGAGAAACCTAGCATTTAACTCTTACATTTAAGACAAACTATTTCACTCAGCATGAAAGCATTTTAAAATGCAGACTGTGGTTCACTGTTGTACTTGGTAAGCTTAGTATGTCCATGGCAACTGATGAATATTACTGCTGCTACTGCTATAAATAACAAACCTATTTGGCAAAGTCTGAGATGTAAATATTAAATCCAGCACAAAGACAATTTTCCATCCCTTCTTTTGCTCCCTTCTGAATTAGAAACCTGTACTTGCATGTCAGTGGATTATTTCCAAAAAGAGCTGCAGGTGTCACAGTACTGCAGAAACTAGCAATTCTGACTGACGTTGTCAATAAGAATCACACGTTTGGGGTCAGGATGCTGTGTAACACCAAGCTGGCTGTAGCAGCCAGCTACATTTGAACCAATGAGCCCTCCCAGTCCCAGCACTGAGATGGTACAAACAGAGCACATCTTTTGGAGAACCATCAAAATTTGTGGCCATTTGTAGCTTCATCTGGAAAAAGTCAAAGGTAGAGTCTCACCTGCGTGCAACTGGGTCACTATTCTGCATCTGCAAATTAGGCACAAGGGCACGCAAATGGAGCTAATGACCTTTCCAACAGATGGTACAATTGACTGAGCCCCTGTTTTGCAATACAGTTTTTTGGAGGGAGTGCCAGAAACAATACACATGATGGGAGAACTGAGCACAGTTACATTGCCCGGTGCAGTTGGGATGTCGCATACTGTCAAATCTCTACATATTTCTCTGCTCCTCTTGGTCACTTTCCCATTCCTGGCAAGGGAGAGGGGGACATCCCTGCTACCTGCCCGTGTTATAATGCTGGGATCAAGCACAGCAGCAGCACTCCATAATTGGGCTCTGATCAGCTGGGGACAGTGAGCCATGGCTCCTCCTCATGAGCCTGGTGATCACTTGGTGGAGCACGGATGGAGAGCAGATCTGTCACTTCCCCAGCAGTGCCCTCCACAGTGCTACAGCCAAGCTCTGGCAGGGATGCTAATTGCTTTTGAACTGCCACTGTGTATGAAGAATTCAGATGAACTGTTAGAAGCACTTTGTCTCAGTGCCTTCCTTGGCTCTGCCACAAAAGCCGCTGGCTGCTGCTGCTATCACTTCCCTCCAGGAGTTAGACCATTGCCCCAACCCCAAAGCGGCAGCTCTACTAAAGGCTGATCAGAAGCAGCATCTCACAGTTGCCATTCTGCTCCTGCTGCCCATCAGGCTGGCTTGCCTTCCACTGCTGGGATCTGGAGGCTCTAGAGAGATGGTCTACAGACCTGCCTGTGTTTAATGGACATGACAAGTGAGGAGTTGGTGAGCAAGCCTGTGCCTAGATCCAGGTCAGACACGAGTAGCAACTGCAGCAAATGCAACATTTTTCTTCCTGACCCCACTCTTTCTATGCAGCCACTCTCAACAGCACTCAAAAGAGGATCAGTATGTTGTGTCCTACCCAGATCTCAACTTCCTGCCATTCTACCAAACCACCACCAATTCACTGGGACACTGCAGCTTCACAGCTCTGCCACACTGTTACTCCAGGGTCTACACTGAGACACCAGCCAGCTACACCTTACTCAAAGTCATGCTGAAATATCCTCTGAAACACCATCAGATAAATCAGTCATAAAACCAGCCGATTCAAAAGAAAAGTAGTAGCATCAGCACAGACCTCACTTCAACCCAGGAATTTGCTTTTTGTTGTATTAGCTGAATCTCATCTTGTTAGGCACAGTGGCCTGAGCTGAAGTGTGCAGCTCCTGACATTTCAGGATGTGGGAAAACAAGGTAAACATGAGTGTGGGAGAAATAAATGGGTACGTTAGAGAACTGCTGCTCAGACACAGTGCTAAAGCCTCCGGCACTAAATGCTACATACAATTCTTTGTCATAAACATGTCAACTACAGTGTTTATATCAAAGTTCTCAATAGATTATACTATTAATATAAAAATGACAGCTGTCATGCAACACATACAGCAATGTCACAGTTTCGGGGCCTCCAACAAAAATATGGGGTTTGATTCTGCAAAACTCAAGTTTGAGCTCAAGCAAACAGTTGATTATATTCAAGCAAACTACTTGGCTATGTAAAAAAAAAAACAAACCTCAGAATCAGTGCCAAAACAACGCTTGTAATGCAATTTAAGTACATTATTCTCAAGCAACGTAACTAATTTTTAACATAACAAGTAATTAAGTTGTAAATGTGAGCAACTATGGGGGTTTTAGTGTAGGCAATATAACATTTACAACAGCAGAATCACTGTGAAGTTTTCTGGACTCATCTGTAACCTTGACTGCTTCAATTGCTTTCAATGTAGGGATCAAAACCCCTTCGACTTCCAGCTAGGCACTCAGTGAAGTGAGGTCTCTTCCTCTTGAAAGCAAAGACTTTTGTACCTGCTTGTAGGTGAAGAATGCTCTTAAGGAAATCTCAGATACGTGATGTGCTGGTTGGATGCCACAGTGATAACCACAGCCATGACCTTACAGAAACGCACCTTGAACCAAAGTCAAGCACGCAATAATTAACATACTTGCCACATGCTCAGAGGCTCATGCAGTGCACTCATAGAGGTCCTCTTTAAGCATGCTGCTGTTTGGACATGTTGAGGGTGAGGCTTGAGGAGTCTCGAAAGAGAATCCAGGCAGTAGCTGGAATTCAGAGAAAGGCTGGATTTAGAGCTAATGCTCTGTAATATGTTGCCAACCACACGTAAACATGTTAAAGTGGATGAGGCAAAAAGAGGATCAACCTTGCTTGCCCAGCACCCACGAGCAGTCAGCTCATGCTGCAAGCACCTATAGAAATGCATGGCAAACCCTCATAAGGTCTCCCCTGATGTGACTGCAATATACATATGGTTGTGCATCCATGCAAATAAACAATTGAGACATTAAACACTGTATTTACTGCATACAGCCAGGCAGCGAGACCGTTTCCACAATTACTTGGAGAATAATTCATTATGGGCCGTAACTGCTGGCTTGTCCCTGGGACAATTTGTTGGGAAAGAATAAGCTCTAGGTTTCTTTACAAATCTTAGAGCTGACAGCTTTAAAACAATCAAAACCCAACCAAAGTATTACCTAATTCATTTCCAAAAGTTTAGGGGAAAAAAAAAAACAAACAATTTCTCCGCAAAGGCAATTGCATGGACAGGGAAAACATAGACTTTTTGTGCAGCAATTCCTTTACAAACTGCCTCAGTGGAATAGATGGGACAGTTCAGGAATTCAGACTCTGCTCTGCATGATGGAGGGTAGCAAGGTCTGGGATATGGCTTGGGCAACCGGCCCTGAGTAATCAGATAGAAATGCAGATACTAGGATAAAGAAGAGGTGAAAACATTCATCTAAAAAAGCAACTAAAGCCCACCATGAAATATACACATGAAAAGCATTTTAATTTTCACATTCAGGCAGTAGCTTCTTCCTTATGTAAACAGGGGTTAATAAAAAACCCTCGAACAACAGTTCATCCACATTTAACACCAACTTGATTTCTTGTGGATTTTTTTACTAGAATAATTTATTCCTGTTCAAAAATCTCCACATGGGAACCTATTTACTGCCAGAAGTTGGAAGAAGCTGTTCTTCAGCTTCTTCTCCAATGTAAATCCTTGGAGTAATGGAGCACTCTGAGAAAAGAAAACTCTGAGCTGAGATTTCACTCGGGAAAGGCTCCTGCCAGGCTGGCTGTCACCTACAGGTGCTGTGTTGAAAAGGAGATAAAGCTGAACAATAAACGCAGTACTTCCATGTTTCCAGACTCTCTTCTACTGAGAGTGGAAGACTGGAGGTGGCCTATAGCACAGCAATGGAAAACTTGAGATATTTTCATTCCTTTAATTACAATTAAATCTAATAAATCTCAGGAAAACTCACCCACCACATACAGCAGGCAGTTATAGGCTCAAAATACGGATGTGATTTCTACAAAGGCTTGAATTCTGTTACACTCAGCTAAGCTGCAACACTTAATATTCTCCTCTGAATCTTGCTCTGGGCCATTTTAGATATGCAAACAGATGCAGAATGAGTCTTTCCACAGTTGAAATACCTCTCAAGAGCCTAACCACCTTCCAAAGAGCTTTGCATTTTGTTTACTGAGTTTTATCGTCCCTGTTTCCCAAGTGCCTGCTTTTAAAATCTCTGCTGCTTCCTCTACTGTTGCTAATTTTACCAGTTTGGGCTATTTTAAGTTTCTTTCTGCCACCGTCTTTGAATTCTCCACTAATACCAAAACGTTCACATCATAAACCCACAGACATTCCCAAATCAGTAATTCCTTACATCTTTTCCATTCTGCCATGTACACACCACTGGTTTCACCCTTTCTCCTCACCCGACCAGGACCCATTCCCATCTGCTGGGGTCTGAGGTGCAAGAAGAAGTTCACTAAGTTATTCTGCAAGCCTTCTTTATCTCCAGGTTTCTGAGCGTGTAAGCAAGTCTTCCAGAGGAAAGAGGTTTTTCTGCCACAGACACTAAGGAAAATCAATTTATCTTTGTTCTTATCTACAGCCTTATCTACAAGGAAATACAAGCCAAATATTTCCATATACTGCTGTCAGTTCTCACTGTCTGAATTAAACACTCCCATTTTTCTAGTAATTGCCGGACTTCAAATATTTTATTGCCAAATGGAAAGCTCCACTGTTTAAGAGAGGACTGGCCATGCAGTACTAGAGGGAATCATTGCTTTATCAACTGAACAAAAACAAGTGGAGAAAGAAATTCCCACTGTCAGGAGCACCAGCAGCAAAGACCTCATCCCCCAAAGGCCAAACTCAAACCATCTTCCTTAGTTTATAATTATTTTTCTCCCCTAAATTACAAGGACAGGAACAGGAAACAATCTGAAAAAGCACAAGGTGACAGAATGGGAGTTATAACCAGACCTGGCAACCAGGATTTGACCCTGACACAGGGCATGTTGGTGTCCTAGCCTCAGCCCCACCAGCACACCTTGCTCCCAGGATCCCTCAGTTCCCCTCTAAGGGCAGCCCCATCCCTATCATCCAAATGAGCAGTAGCATGGAGGACACAGTCAGGCTCTCCAAGGGCTGCAAACTCCACGCTATTCCAGCATTTGCCTCCAGAACAGGTCCACGTGTGTCTAAGGGAGGAACACTAACCTCAACACTGGCTTCACAAGAAGGAGAAGTTGACGGAGAAGGACAACCTAGGAGCAGACTCAACTTCCATCAGCCACCATAGCTGCTAGTACCGTAACCCATCAGATGTGCAAACCCCCCAAGTCGGGTATGAACTCACTAATCCAGAGCTCAGGCAATCAGTTGTACTGATGTAAATATGATTTCATCATAGCTGCTACTACTACCTTTGATTACTGGAGTTTCTGTTTTCATGATATTTACATAACTGTATTGGCCTGTTAAGCATTTGCACCCAAGCTGAATCATTCACTGGATAATCCACAGGCATTGACCAAGCTGCTCCACTTGGAGCTGACAGAGCACCAGGACTATCACTGTTTGCTGCAACAGCTCTGCTTTCCCTCACAGCTGGGGTAGGAGCCAATAGCACCTCTCCCAGTGCGACACACACATTGCTTTGCGTTTCCAAATGCACAAGTGTTTTCTGATCTCTGCGCTGTCGATTCTGAAATTGTTTTACACCCCAAAAATTCCATAATGTGCCAGAGTAAAGATCTGCAAACCGGCATCATTTAGGATGATACACATTTAATTTCATCAATAAAGCTGCTAGCACTTACTACAGCACCTTTCCTAGAAAACAATTTGGTGTCGTCTAAACTGCATGTCTCCTGCCTGCAGCTTTCATACAGCACAGAGCTGGGGGAGATGGGGTCAAATCTGATCATAGGAAAGCTTAAACTCTGTCAAGGCAGTAGAGCTGCAGCTGCTCATGCTGAGCCTGAGCCAGCACAGGCGGTGCTGGATCCATGCAGCTCCAGACAGGCTGCCCTGCGGAATAGAGCGAAGTCAGAAAGGTCTGAGGCAAATATCCAAGCCAGGAAGTTTTTTTGTCTGAGTGAATTAACATGCTGACAGCTCACGGGGCCTTCTGAGCTCACACTGTCAGCCTGCTCGCTGCCCTGTCTGAAGCTCGTAGTAAAGCTTGGGTACAAGCCCTATTCGGACCTTTCATCTTTAAAACCTATCAGGTGCTCTCGCTTTCCATTTTCTCTAGATGCCTTGTTATCATTTCTAGCTGCTGTCCTCACAATAGGTGGTCTCCACATGGTGACAACATCAGGTTTCTGTTCCAGCTGATGATGTGGAGACTGCAAAACCTCATGCTCTGGGCTTGACATGGCAGCACAGACTTGGGCTGCAAAAAAGCCAGATACACACGCTCCAGCCCTGTGGAATCAACAGACCCTAAAAATCTCCTGCATCCAGGACCTACAAAGGAGACAGATCCTCTGTCAGCATCGTGTCCGGGTCCCAGGCTTGCCACATAAACAACACAGCAGGAAGACAGTAGGTCCACAGGACATGCAAACATACTTCAGCCTACTGGTACAGACATTAGGAGCTGTGAAGAGCTGAACTGCCTGGGCTACCAGTCCAACAGCAAATACTGCTACAGCTGATACAAAGCAGGGGAGAGGGTGAGGGGAAGCCCAGACCCTGATGTATGAATGAATAGCACCCAATGTACAAATGCATAATGAAATAGACCACAAAATCCATGCCACATATCCTCATGCCCTGCTAACTTACCCTCTTCCTTCTCTGGAGTAGTCATTTTACGCAGTTTTCCTCTGGTGAACCCCTCCTTCCAGCATGATTTCATACCTTTCAGGCCCAGCTTGCGGTTAAATTTCTTTCCATAAATTCATTGGACTGCAGATTATTTTACAGTAAAACATTTCCTTTGCTAGTTAATGTCTCCCATGTGTTTGAGTATTTAAAGCAACTTTCAAGCATGCTTTGCTATCTCTCCCTAGCATGCACACCGAAGTCCCTACACAGGGTTTTCGGTGTGGAAAAGTCTAGCACGGAAAGAAGCTAAACAAAGAAATACTGTCAACAAAGAGGAGAAAAAAAGACAGAAGAGAAAAGCTGACAACAAGAAAAACTGACACTGGAAAATTGCCAGCCCTGTACAGTCAATCTTTGGGTTGGCAGGAGAAATGCCGTTAAGTGCAAAAAAGAAGAGGATCTCTGATGACAGATGTATGCACAGGCTTAACACAGGGTTGATTAAAAAATAAACAACAATAAAAAAGCCACATTTCTCTCTACTTAGCGTTAGGAGCAATCTATTGCAATTCACAGACACAACTCTGCAGAAGTTTATAGCATGCCATTAAAGAGAGCTCTCTCCCAACCCCACGGATCAGAAGAAACACGTAAAACCACCCAGCCCAAAACACTTCATTTTCTTCAACTTAATCTTTTTTCCCTGCTCTCTGGGGTAAATCCTCCTCATGGCACCAAACGCAAAGGAAACTTTCTGCAACACTGGGTCAAGCCTTGGCAATTTCAGCAGCTCTGGGCTGTGCCAGGGTGCAGCGATGCTCCTCTACCATAAACGTCCCATGGGGTGAATCACCTTCATCCTAGTTCTGTCCATATGGCAACTTTCCAGGGATGGATCCACTGGAACTGAAGAGTCCTAAGAGAGTACTCAAGCTCCTGCATCTCTGCCCAAGCAGA